TCAGAAAAAGTAAGCTTGAAAAATAAAAAAAAATTATAACCAAATAATATGAATGCCTACTCATAAAAAAATATAAATTAGTTAATGATTAATGCGAGATTTGATCGAAAACTTGTTATTAATAATCAAAGTCTATATTATGTAAGTTTGATTTTTTTTTCAAATAACTTAATCAATTACACTACCAGTAAACTATTTATTCTGATATATTTTAAATTTAAATATTAATTTGAATTCCTTAATTTGAGATAAATTAATTAGATACACCCTCAAGATTTTTGCACATAAACTACTACTATAAGGGATCCATTTTGACCCTTAAAAAGTAAATAACTTAGATTCTTATACTAAAGGAATTATAGCTAATATGGGCAATTCAGAAGAAATTTTTATTATGTGGAAAAAAAAATGTATGAGACACTCGAATCTGATATCAATCACTTATGAAATAATACACTGATCAATCTACAATGTCTCAATAAGGATGATATTTAATAGAATCAAATGAAAAAGGAGATTTTGGGGAGGCAACATCTGTATTTGTGGTGTAGATCTAGAGAGAGAGATGAGAGAGATGCATCAGCTGGCTGTCCATCACACAGATACTGACCTGTTTCTAAATGTTTTGGTCAGGACAAGCTGGTGTCATTCCTTCGCTCCATCTTCCCCTCATGCATCTCCTCCTCCTCCTCCTGAAGTAAAATCCTTAACATGATGAAGTACTTTTCGGCAACAGCAGAAATGACAGGGTAGAAATGGTGACAGAACCATCAGCACTGACAAATGATGACAAGAAGAATAGAGAACTTACACTGTGACACTGGAAACCTTCACAATGTTTCATTGCAATTAAAGATAGGGAGAAAAGAAAACAAAAATGAAAAGAAAAAGAAAATTCCTGCACCATATGGCCTGTGATATGATCTTACAAATTTTCCTTTCTTTGTCTTCTTGTTTTAACTAAACTGTGTAATGATGACCAAAGAAAAAACATATTGAGATGTAGAGAATGTGAGCTTCTTTAGAGCTGTTGTCCACTTAATTTACCTTCTCCGATTGGTTGTAGAAAATTCTGCTCATTTCTATCTCTCTGTTGTCTCTTTTGGACTCGTTCCATTAGTGAATGCTGTGTTATAGTGCTGCTTATTAGCTTCTCTGGCCGTTGACGTGGGAGAGGATTCTTAATCCACAAACAAATCAATAAAGAGCAAAGGGTGGATTGATGCGATCACCACACTAAAGAAGTACCGATGATGCTTGGGATAATGTCGATCGATGGTGGGAATGCATGCATGAGGAGAAGAGGAAAGGGATGAAGGGAACACGAATGTGTGTGCTGCAGTGGTGTAATGTGTAATGGTAGCTACATATATGGGAAGGGAATTAAGTAGAGCTTTCGGGGATGTATACTGAATCTATCGGGCTATAGCCAAGAAGGAACTCGCGGTTGCTGAGGCCGCCGTCGATGGATTCCCTCCGCCGCCGGCGCTCATGCTCTTTCTCTGGAATTGTATCTTGTAGTGCAGTTTCCCTTCGTCGTCGTCGTCGTCTTGGTTCATGTTGTCGCTGTCAGTTTGGTCCAACTTGTCGTAGTCGTTGATCACAGTGCTTACCTTTTCCAATCCTTGGTCAGAAAAGATCATATGAAGTGATCCATTGGTAGTTTGTGTTCGTGTAGCATTCTTGCTTTCGGGCTCTGCGGCAGGTTGAGGCGGCGGTGGAGGTGGTGGTGGTGCTTGCTGTTGCGACATGTTCCTTGGTGTGTCACTCTGCCGTTGATTGGAAGCGGGACTTCCCATGGTGTTGCCGGTGCCGAGGAGCTTGTTGCGGTAGAGGGCGTCCAATTGGTGGAAGTAAGAGCAGGTCTTGGAGTCCTCGGGCCGCTTCTTGTTGCTCTCCTTTACCTTCTTGAAGTACTTGTTGATGTTCTCCCACTTCTCCTTGCACCGCTTGGCGCTACGTTTGTAGCCAAGCCGCTGCATTCCGGCTGAAATCTCCTCCCACAGTGGCCCCTTCGGCCCGGTCTCCTGGTACTTCGACTCAAGCTCGCTGCGGAGCTTGATCAACGCATGCACCTCCGCCTTTGGCCATCGCGAGGATGACGACATGGGCTCCGAGCTGGGGACGAGCTCCATAGCCGACGACGGCTGATACCGTGCCATCTCGGTTCTATGGTGGTGATGCTGAACAACGTGCTGCTGCGAGGGTGATTGTACCAGCGCAGGTGGTCTTTGCTGCTGCTGTGGCGACGGCAGCTGAGGAGCGGCTGGTTGTGGCGGCGGAGTATGCGACTGCTGCTGCGGGAATGGCGAGATGGAGAGAGGAATAGCAGACATTGTGGGCATGGGGATGGTCCGGCCGGTTAACTTCTGAAGATAGGAGATAATGGCGGTGTCTCTGGACGAGGCCATCGCCCACTCCTGCTCTAAGAGCTCCTGCTCACGGTTGAGCCGCGTCATCTCCTGCCGCCGCCAAGCCTCGTCCCGGATCATCCTGTCCTGCTCCCTCTTCTCCATGGCATCCAAGAACCTCTGCTGCATGGCCTCCTGCCGCTCCATCACCTGCTTCATCAGCCGATGGAAGAAAGGCATCATCTTCCTGCTAGGTCCCGAGCCCCCGCCGTTGCTCTTCCGCTTCCTCCCTTCCTGGCTCTCGCCGTCAGTCTCCTCGTCATCGGACTCGAACCATTCAGAAGATGAAGAATTCGACGAGAAGCCGATGCCGGCGGCAGCGGCGGAGACGGCGACGGCAGCGGAACTGGAGATTCTCTGCGCGCCACCGGGAGGGGTCAGCTCGGGAACGACGACCCTAGTTGGCATCGCAAGAGTCGGTGGGGCCAAGACGGAGATAGGCTGGGCTCTGCTGGGCGGTGGGCCCACCAAGCTGGCGCTGAAGGCGGACGAGGTGGCGACGAGGGTGGAAGGGACAGGAGCGGCGGGTGTAACGGCGGCGCTGCTGCCACTACGGAGGGCTTCGAGCTGGCTGAAGAAGCGGTAGCCCTTGCCGTCCTGGCGGCCGGCGCGGCCTTCTTTGGTGCGCTTGTAGTACTTGTTCACGTTCTCGAACTTCTCCTTGCACTTCTTGGCGGTCCTCTTGTAACCGAGCTCTGCTAGCTTTCTGTCAGCAAAGGAGCAACAGCCCAGCAGACGAGCTCAAAACAATTAGGAGCCGAAGAGGAAACAATGAGCACAACAAAAACGCAGGTGAAGGCAAGGAAGATGAGATGGTCTATGATTCCATTACATCCCACGCAACACCCACCCACAGCATCTAATCTTCATTATACAGCAATTATCACCCCACTACATTAACCTAAACACCCACCCGTTTCATGCTTTTGCATTGGGTAGTCTTCAACCGCGACCTAAAGATATAATCTAATGAATACAAATTGATTGGGATTGATGCAACAGCTGACGCAGGGAATGAAGATAGAGAGAGAGAGAGAGAGAGAGAGAGAGAGAGAGAGAGAGAGAGAGAGGAGAGGACTCGTTTCTTTCCCCAGAAAAGTAGCTCAGCTGCTGCAACCATTGCTGCAGCAAGGAGTCCGTGGTACGAACTTGACGCCAGATAGTTACTTGGCTGTCTCTCGAGCTACTCAAAGGAAACGAGAATATCTCTCTCTCTCTCTCTCTCTCTCTCTCTCTTTATGATGCTGGTGGTGAGGTCAATACCCAAGGAAACCGTTAAAGAGAGATCAAAGGCTCCACATTTTGAGGTGTTGGCGAGCAGGAGAAGTGGGAATTGCGAAGGAGTCTATTTACCTGGAGACCTCCTCCCAAAGAGGAGCCTTGAGTGTGGCGTCCCGGAAGGCGGCGTCCATCTCGGACCGGATCTTCAACAGGGTGAGCGTCTCCTGCAGCGGCCACCGGTTCCCGGTGACGCCACCACCGCCCCTCTCGGCCTCCTCACCTGTGGCAAGAACCTCGTCGTCCGGAGAGTTGCCTGCTGCGGCGGGACCGACTTTGTCAAAATTCGCAAGCGGGGCGCCCGCTGGCGGCCGGCCGCTAATGGGCGACGCTGCCTCCGCCTCGCGACCTGGAATTTCGGGCAGCGGCACCCCGTACTGCGCCCCTCCTCGCTGCAGCTGCATGTCTTTCTTTGCCTTCTCCTCTCACCTCGTTGGGGAGAAAGAGAGCAAGGAGTGGCGATTGGCCGATGACCGGAGAAGTATCAAATCAGTACATGGAAAGGGTGAAAATGATGGATGGGAGCACCAACAAACCAGGAGAGAGAAAGACAAGAATTTTTCCCTGAGATATGAACCGCAACAGGACAGGGTGAAGGTGAGAGGGCTGAAGAAGATGGGGAGCCGCAGAGAAAGAGATGAACACGGTGAGTTCGAGGGGGGTGGAAGGAAGAGAGAGAAAGAATGATCAGTGATCATGCACCGTCGGATTGGAATATCCATCTCACGGTGCAGTACCGGAATCCTAATAAACAAAGAAGAAGCAATATGGTTGGTTGGCGGGCGGTGGTGGTCCAGCTTGGGAAGGGAAAAGAATTATCGAGAATATGCCCCCATGCAAGCCGAAGCAGAGAGAAGGGTGTAAAAGTGGGGAGGTGGAAAGGGGCAAACGAAAAGCGGAAGGGGAGACAAGAATACGTTGCAACAGCTGGTCACAACGTGCGTGGCGATTATTGCGGATCCCACACGGAAAAAAAGGCGAAACCCACCCTCCAAATATACCCACAGCATCCCATGTTTTAAGCCCCCCAAACTCTTGTGTCGATTAAAAGGCATGATTGGATCAGAGAAAACATTATTAAAGTGTTTTTCTTAAGTTGCTGAAACTGTGACGTGTTACGTATGGGATGTTGGTCGGATGTGACCTGTTTGCTTGCTATAAATGGGAGGATGACTATTGAGTTATTAGGGTGGGACCCGAGGACCCGTCTAAGTAATAGTGGAGGCCCCCACTGTTGCAATCATAATTCACAGCCCGGCATGAGAGGCATAATAAGACTCATCCATTGTACTTGTGAGAGGGAGAGAGAGAGAGAGAGGGTGCCATATTATTTCGAGTCTCGACATTGAGATCATAATACATGCTGTACAATGAATGGGAAAGAAGGAACAGGAAAAGAGAAATCTTGCTTTGGGGCTCAATGCAATGGCAAAGCCACCAGTGGTAGGAGATGGAACAAATGCGTCGGCCACATGATGGGTAGCTTATTAGGTTTGGCATCGAACTGTTCTTCTCCCTCGCTGTCCCCTCCTGAGTTGGCCTCACCATGTGAGAGAAGCTTACCAAATAATGGACACATAACAAAGCATCCCAAGATGGCATTTCTTCGGGCTGTGTTCATTCCTTTCGGCGAAAGCATCCAAAACATGAAACCATCGTGTGATCGATCATAACGCTCCCGGAGCCTCTCTGCCGTATCGATCGCTCTCTACAACCTCAAGCTCATGCTTTGGCGAAAGGGAAATGCACAGACAGATAGTAACTCAAGATGTCTCCTGATTCAAATTAGTAGATCCACAGTGTCGCTGTACATGTTTAGTACTGCTGAAACTTGCCACATTGTCTAGTCTGAGATCCAAGACACAAGTGAAACTTCCGATAAGAAGGTTGCGGAGCCGCCGGGCGCAAGTATAAACAGCTTGCATCAGTATGACAATGTGAAGGAATGGAAAGATGTGTACAGTAAGCTTGTTTACTGTTTGAATAACTTGATAATCGAAACTCTAATTTCAACATAGAAAGATCTTTACCAATGCATTCTTCTGTACCTTTGTCTGGGAGAAAGGGTAAAGAGCAATATCTCATATATTACAAAGAGTGTTGCTGATTTCCACCCTCCAAAAACCAAATCAATGGAGTATCCTCAGACTCTCTGCAACTAAGATGGTATTTGTTTCTCTTCCTGTATAATTTACTTGTTGAAGTTCGTGATACATCAAACTAAAAGATCCTCTCATGAAATATCTTTCAACTCCATCAGATGATCTTTCTTTTGTATATCTATTCTATGGCCACAAATTTCACGCAGATAGGAGGATCGACCTTAGCCAAGGCTAACAACGATGAAGGCAACATCCACAACCCATCCCCACAGATAAAACCAGAGGCAACAGCAGGCACCATTAGAGCGCCTTTTTTTCTGTTTAACTTGTGCCAGGTAAACACTATCAAGCTCCCAACACACATGTCGATTGTGAAGCTAGCTCCAACAAGAAATGGCACTGCCATGGCCACTGGCAGGGGAACCCAACCACTGTACTTAGCTGGCAAAGTATCCCTCATCATGTTGGCGACCACTGCAAACCCAAAGAAACCATAACAAAGCTGCAGGCAATGATGAGGGAGTGCTGAGAAGCCCTCAACACTGAGAATTGCCATGTTTCTATATATCAGAGCATACGGAGCCTTCCAATTTCCATTTGGATTCCCCACATCGAAGATATTGTAGAAGAGAAAGAAGGTTAAAGGGGCAATAATGCAGCCCATGGCTGTTCCAATGGCCTGACTAAGAAGCATCGATCTTGGGGATGTCACAGTGAGATGACCCGTCTTAAAGTCGTGCATCAGATCAGCAGAAATGGAAACGACGGACTTAATTAGGCCACAGCCCACAAGTCCAGCAACTACACCGGAGTCTTTCCCAGCCCAAGCTGCCAATATAAAGAGAGACACTTTTCCGTAGTTGTAAGCCATATTCATGTCTGTTAGGCCAGCACCATAAGCATTGCAGAAACCAAGAGCTGGAGCAAGCATGTAAGCTATGACCACATAGTACCACTTCACCTCAGGGAACATGAAAGGAATAACAACAATGGAAACCACAGTGAACAGTACATACCCAGAGTAGGCTAACCACACTGGTATGCTCTCTTCTATATATACCTCGTTACGTTGGAGATCATTAAGGATTGGATTATCCTGATCTGCCTCTGTACAAAATGCAAAATAATTGACGTTGCAAGATAGGAGGTGGAAAAAGAAATCTTTGCTACAATAAATTTGATTAAATTTACCACTTTTGATCATTCTGCGTGTTGCTCTAGCATGCATGTTTCTGGCAGTAAAAGCTAAAATTTTTAGGAAATTGTAGAGTCCATCTCCAACAATTAGTGCAATTGAAAGGAAGACCTGTCATAAGAGCAGATATATGAGCAAATGATTTCTTCTATTTTTATTCACAATGGTTAAAATTTTTTCTAGTGATGTACCTTGTAACCTTGCAAACCACTCATACTACTTTCGGGTAAGCTACTAGAGTACCACTCTCCTCTAAGTTCACTTATTAGTGGCCACATTATTCCCCATGAAACCACTGCTCCAAGAAGGAGAGAAAGATTCACAATATGGGAACAAATCATGCCAGCTCCAATATATGTCAGGCTAAAATCAAAGAAAAACCTGCAACACAAAATATTTTTACGTTGTTAAATAAATTGATGGTGATGATATAATCAACAGTAAAGTAATAGGAGACAAGTACGTCTGTTTCCAAGCTTTCAGCCCAAAGACTGGGAACTGTGAGAATCCACACCCATCTCCTCCTGAGCAGAACCACTGGAAAGTGCTCCACAGGAAACTAGCTGCAAAATACTTTGCAAACCCATGGACTTGCTTCCTGTTGAGGATGTTTAGCCATAAAGCTTAGTAGTAATATAGAGTCAATACATATCTTAATTAAGGAAGTAGATAAATACATACTTAGCTACGTTGTCTCCTTGAGGAGTGTGGAAACCATTGATAAGGATGGCAGTCGCAGTGCCACTTGGAAAAGTTAACTTGTAATCAATGATCATGATCTGAGTAATTGGCGCATGTTGCAAAAAGAAACATCAAGGCGTTATAAAACACGAATCATATAGTGAAAAAACCATTAAAATCAGTGACAGAGGATAACATCATCTTGTAAGTAGTATTCTTAGTAACCAAAAATCCTCAAACAAACAATATAAATGGCTCCATAGTTGCAATGAGTCATGTAACATAAATTAGCGTTCTAGCATTACCAAAGCCTGATATATGCATACAATCACTACCTGCACTAAACTATTTAGATCCTAATAATTATACAGGACTAAAATAATGATGTATCATCAACATTGTTGAATAAATAATATGACATCAGAAAGAATTCTGTTCTATTTATAATACATCTTAGCAGAATCAGTGACATGAGATTTTATTCTAAATCATATTGAGTAAGGTTTGTAAAAAATAGTTGTTTTGGAATTTCATTTTATCATATAAAAGAACCATTCATCACATGGATAAATTTTCAAAAATGTAGTTGATATCTCAATATATAAGAGGCTATGATTATTTTAATTGTTTGACAAGGTCTACACAGAAATCCTATTTTTCAAATGAGTATCTATAACTAATTCACGTATAAATATTTATATATTTTTAAAGGTCAAAAGTGGTTATGAATGTTATGATTCAACCAATAGCTTAAAAGCTTTGCAACTTGAATTTTTGAATTCATTTATCTAAAATATATTTACATTATGATCAATTGTTTGGATTGTTACTTGAAATGGTCTAGAAAACACTTTCATGTGATTTTAGACCACTCCTCTTTTGTTAATTTAATGAACAACCAAGTATATCCAAATTAAATAAATTTTGATTTCTAAACAGCTTATCCGTTACATATCGTACTTAGTTCAACTTATGTACAATTTGGAACCTCCAGAATTGACGTTGAGGTGAATGAGTTGAGGGCTCCATTCTTCCAGTGGGATTCTAGCTGCATTCTGTCTCTATATACATATATATTTATGTATATGTTGACAAACTAAATCAGCATTTTCATCAGGAAAAAAACGGTAGTGTTTTGCTGATCAAGATCCAATAGAGTGATAAGAGAACAAACTAAGAGTAAATTAAGAACAACAGGAAGTAGAAGGAATTACCTTCCTGAGAGGAACCAGGGCCAAGAGTCCAACAAAACTAACAGTAAAAAGAAATGCAGTCATCCAACCAATGCCAGGGTCCTTGTAGCTACCTGGTACATTCCCCTCTGTATCCACCCCTGCTTGCTCATAAGTCTTCTTGTTCAGACCCAACAGATAGGATCCAAATCCACCTGCAACATGATCAGCACTACCATAAACCAAATCAGAACATCAAAGTACAACATACACAATGGAAGATTGAGCAAGATCCGAGCATTCCCACCACCGACGGCGACGTTGTAGCAAGCAACTGCACACGTCTGCACCACCGTGTTCTCCTGTCGCGTGAAGGGAGTTGAAAGGACGCCAATCTTGTGCAGCAGCTTGGTCCAAGACCTGAGGACGGCAAAGGCGAGGAGGGCGGCGGAGACGTTGAGGGTGGGGACGAGGCCGGTGGTAAGGTTGAGCTTCATCACGATGACAGTGTACATGACCCCGATGGCGAGGCTCGCGGCAAGGCCGCGCAGGGTTATTTGCTTGGACCATGGAGGGATCATCCTGGACACGAGGGCCGCTGCCTCGATTTCTTGCATCTCTCCGGGCTCTGCCTCGAATTGGCCGGTTGCAGGCGTTCGCTTCTTCTTCCTTCTTCCCTCCTCCATTCAACGGCAAGATTCACAATCTGGAACAGGGATCAAATTGGGCATTTTGAAGGTTTGGTATATGTAGCAGCGTCAGAAAGCTGTGCAAGTGATGGAAACTGTAGAATATCGTGATGCAATGCGCTAAAGATCCCATCTTGCTACTCCTCATATACACGATCAGTTACAGGATGACAGTCTACCATTCATCATCCTCAACAAATTGATCTCAACCGAATGCATTTCCCCAGACAATCTCTTCTCCGACTGTTTGCTCCTTAGGCGAAGCACAACGGATGGACCAAAGCAAAGAGTAGAGACGAAAGACCAGTGGTGCCGGGATCGGATGATCGCAGAAACTGGCCTGCGACCATTGGGCCGTGTGATCCCTGCGGTGGGTTGACGAGCACAGAAGAAAGACCTATCCTTTGTTGCTTTCTCGCCTTGCCTCCTCCCGTCGTCAAGGATCTCTCATCATCGCAAATGTCTTGATCTCATCTATTCCTTCACAGCAGCAGACGGAACGCGATGGATCTGCTAGGGATCAAGGGTTGTTGCGGTTCGAGCTACAAAGACTCATCGTTCCCAAAAAAACCGGGCGAAGGAGACCGGAGGTGGGGTACTGTCGAGGGTAGGGTGGTAATCTTGTGTGTAATGTTAACCAAGCCCTTGCAGAATTCAACTTGGTCTAATACTTGAAGCACCAGCGAAGCTTATGAACATGGAAGAAGGAAAAGGAATCAAGTGGGAAGGTGAGTTCTTGTGTGAGTTGAGTCATATAATTCATATGTCAAAAAGGAAAACAGGTTGATGTGGATACAGTGAAAAATACCTCAATTATCCATTTTTTTCTAATTCATTATTGGCAACATTCTGGTAAATACAGTGATCTGAGAACCCTATAACTTCACATGACTATAAGAATCCATCATAAGATAGAATCAATAACATCATAAGTGGCTGCTAAAAAGAGCAAGCTGATGAAAGGATGTCATCATAACTTCAATTTTGCCAACAATTCACCAAAAAATTTTATTCTATCTTGTTCAACAGAAAACAAAAAAAAAATCGTATTCACCACAGAAATAAACGAAAAAATAAAATCCATTTTCTGAGTCACTGGAGCCCAATTAAGCTACCACACTATAAAAACTTACATACTAAGAAAATGAACTTAATAAGTTTCCTTGAGGATAGTCACGGATAAATTTCATATAATTATTTGCCGAAATTGGGAAAAAAAGAAAGAATGGTTCGGGATGCAAAAGGAAGAGAAGGGTACAGTTAACCACTGCTCTTCCTTGTGATCCATCTCTTTCTAGCATTCTGTAATGCCTCCTCTCGCATCCTCGATAGCTCAAAAAACCAGCGCTGATATTGAGCTTCGATCATATCGATCTCTGACCGCAACTCATTTTGATCTTTATTATTCAGGGAGAGCAAAGAAGAGTCCTTCAGAGAAAGTACCTCAACAATATCACAAGCACCAACATCTCCTTTAGAATCGGCATCAGTATTATATCCACTTAAGCTTTTGGAGCTTCCGACAACCATAACTGAAGTTGCTGAATGTTGAGAACGTTTGTCTGCCCCATTAACCCCACTCCAAATCGAATTATTATCGATAGGTGAAACTGCCTCATCCATCTTCTTATATGATGCAACATCATCATTTTCCGCAAATTCCCCTTCTGAGGTTCCTACGTTTATCTGAGATTGATCAGCGTGGTCATAGCCCAGCTCGAAATAAGCACTTGATTGTGGGGATAACTCAGATGAAAGTTCATTGTTATCGTAAGCTCCATACTCCTTGCATGAGCTGATGTTGTCGCTAGAACAATGATCAGCAGGTCTCCAGCCAGGTATAAGTCTCATGATCAAGAAGTCAATAAAATCAGCTATAAAGACAACATCATAGTCGGATAGATCTAGTTGCTCCACCATTTCTGCAGCAACTGCAAGTGCTGTATCTGAGTCCAGGTAGAAAAGGAAATGGATATTCCTCACTCGACCTGCATCAGTAAAGCGCAGGAGTCAAATTAATAATTGTTGTTAAATTTCTACGAACTTATTGTTAATACCTTATACGTTTACCTACCATATGTATCAGCAATACGCAAAATTAGTGAGACAGAGTTGTCATCATTTTTCTCTCCTTTCAGTCTAAATTCATTATTTCGATTGGTTCTTTGGAATTCCAACGCTGGTGTAACTGCTGTCAGATTGCTGTTCTCGGTGCCAGTACTAATAGGAAGTGGTCTGTAATCAGAGTCAATGTCCATAGACAGAGGCCTTGAAGATGGATTCATCATATTAAGAATATCGTTGGAAGATCGAACAGGATCTGGAAGAGGCTCCTTAGCACTATTAATTTGAAGAAATGGGTCTTTCAAGAGCTCCTTGGCAGGCAACCTCTCTGAAGCAGAAACCAAACATTTCTCTATAAACTGACGTACTTGAGGATCTGATACTTTGGCAAGAGCAGCAGGCTTTATTCCCTATAAAATTGCATATCCAATGATTCTTAGTAAAATAAAAAGCGGGGAGAAGAGAAAAAACTTGCATAACTAGTAGGACATTACTGATGGCAACTTACAGACATGACTTTCTTATAAATCTGAGCAGGATTTTTGCATTCGCTGTATGGATATTCAAGTGTAACCATCTCCAACATGCACATACCAAAAGAATAAATGTCAACTAATTCATTATACTCCTCTTCATAGAGCTCTGGCGCCATAAACTCAGGGGTACCTACAAGTATTATTACAAACATCAAACGGAAAAACTAATAATGTAACCATCGATTAGGTTCAATATGATAATATACCAAAAGTAACATGAGAAATCAGCACACGCCAAACGAGAAGCATGGGCAACAACATCAATAAAAAATTAAAAGAAATTAAAATATTTACTATAAAGCTATAGACAAGTCATCATCAGGAAAAAAGAGTTCATTCAATTTTTAAGATGGGTAAGTCAACTTTTAAGAATTTGTTGAGGACTGACCTATGGGTCATTAAAAATTATCTACACTGTTATGCATGGAAAACTAAGATGTGCAGTTTTGCCCAAAAGCACAAAAGAAAAAAATAATAATTGAAAAGAACGAGAGTTTTTTTTTTACCAATAACACTTCGAGCTGTAGGTTGTTGCATGACAATAGCCAACCCAAGGTCGCCAATTTTAACTTCTCCATGATTGCCGTTCACAAAGATGTTATCACATTTCAGATCTCTATGAAGAATAGGAGGTTTGTGACTGTGGAGGTACTCCAAACCTCGAAGAATTTGTCTTGCCCAGCTTTTTATTGCTTTCAAGTCAACATGTTTATGCTTTTTACGATATCTACAAGTTCAAAAACAAAAGCCACTTAAAACTATCATATCCAAGAAAATCAATCATCAGTCAGACGATATGAACAGAAGACTTACTGCCTCAGACTTCCGGAATTGAACAGCTCGGTGATGATGTTAATGGTCTTGTTTTGTTCATCAACCCATGAGTTGCAAAACTTGATGATATTCACATGCTTTAAGGACTTCAGCAAATGAACTTCAGAATACAAGCGTTCGAGGTTGTCGGGAGATTGCAGCACCTCATCAATTTTCACCTGATTCCATGCAACTTCTATCCCATAAACCTCATCGAATCCCTTATAACTGCACGGCAATAAACGAATATAAATCTTTGTAAATTGTAAGCATTAACGACGCTCAAAATTTTCCAGGTGAAACAACTCAAACAACTCGTCATAAATCGATATAAAAAACTGGGCTCAGATCGTTTAAAGGCTTACACAGTCTTGAATGCTCCTCTGCCTAATACCTCGTCGTGCTGCAGCATCAGATTGAAACCAAATAAGAGTGATATATGAAAACTAACAAAGATAAAAATTACGAGGCATCGGATCCTTATGAATCGTTCTCCAAACAATAAAATGAGGCTTCCAACCTAATGAACTCACACGAAAATAACGTCCGGTAGGATCGGCCTCGACGCAGTCCGGATGCAACATGCCACCGCCATTGCCACCAATCCCCAGGTCTTTCGGGAATCCATTTAAAACCATCGGTTCCATTCGAACAACAGAAAGAAAAACTACAAGAATAAATGGAAAAAAAGGTATGCTTTTGGTGGAGAATGATACAGGGTCAGAAGGCAATGGGAAAGAATCAGAGCCGCCGCGGCGCGATCGGACCGCGACGGCAGGCTTATGAGAACGCCTCGAACGCGACGGAGAAGGGACCGGAGGCCGAGCGCAGGCGGCACCCGCAAGCGACGGCCAGGCTCTCCGCGAAGGCAAGATCCATCACCCCGCTCCCGGTGGTCGCCCAGCACCGGCCCCTCATTCTCCCGACACGCGCGGCGCCCGCCAGCTCCACGGGGTCTCCATCTCTCGATCGCGGGGATGCAACCAAGGAGGGGAGGAGCGAGGGGAACCGCGGGGTCGAGCCACTACAAGAAGGCACGATGGAGGAGGAGGGGGAGGATGAGGAAAGGGGCAGCCGCCACCATTACGGGATTGGATCGACAGAGGCCCGAATCGAACAAAACCCCTAACGATGAGATGGTGCAGAAGATAGCAAACGGCGAAGAGGGGCCGAAAGAGGAGGAGACATCGAACAGGTGTTCGGTACAACAACGCTCCCTTTTTTGTTTTTGCTTTTTATTTATTTATTTTACATATATTTCCATTCAAAAAATTCAAAATAGCATATTTACCACTCTAAATATTAGTATTACATATACACCCTTCGATATCCGTAATATTTAGATCCTACGTAGATGTGGACGTTTAGAGATCATAAATATCTTCTCTATCGCTGCCCGAGTTTCTACGCCGCCCGTAAGTTTGAAAGGAAGCCGCACATCACAGTCAATCCAAATGGATAAGAAAGTTTGACCAGCTACATGTAGATCGTTGACTCGGATCCGCAGCATTCCAATCCGATTGGGGCACGACGTACAAAAAGCTCCGCACCATTTGTGCGGACTGAACGGTGAAACGTATCTTAGCATTTTGGAACTCAACATGACTTTTGGATTATTCTCATCCAACATTCTACCCAAATAAACACACTCCAATGTTGTTATCACAAGTTCTTTTTCTACTTAGTCTCCATTATTAAGTACAACAGAGAAACACTTTCTTCTGTGATGTGTCTACATCACATATGAGTCCAATTTTTTTCCTCAGCTAAATATGATTATCTAAGACACGTGTTATATAAAAAATTTTTAAATCTATATGGTTTGACCTATTGATCAGTTTGAGATAGTCAAAACTCGTATGTATAGAATTATTTGAAATATCTCATAGAAAAAATGTTAAGTTTTTAAGATAGAAATATTATGCTTTTAATATAGAAGTATCATTTGTACGAGAAAAGTTTTCCAATCAATCTCTTTTACGTTTAAGTTAGTAATATAATATTCCTAAATATGAACTCGAATAGTTTAAAAAATATTATAATCATCTTTCTTCTTATAACATAAAACAACAACAAAAATTATGATTATCTTTTTTTTTTCTATTTTAAATTTTTGTACATTCGGAGAACAAACACTTGAGAATCATGCTATTATCTCTGAATCTCTTTGCTGATTTAAGCCAAAATATTATATTTATTTATATCATAATTTAATTCATTTTTAGTCCCAAAATTATGATTTTAATATCAATATTTTTACAGTTTCATCTATTATCCTGTGTATTTGTTCTTTATTTATATTAAATTTAAACCATTCATTCTAAGGTGACGTGACGTGCACGTGAGCCACGACGCCATTCCAGATGCGCCTGGAAGCAACTAGACTGTTTGGATCAAAATCCAGAGCAGAAAACAATGGGACTACAGATCCAACCGTAAGAACCCCTTCGTCAATGTCCGGATCAGCTGCAACCACTACACGAGGCACCCAAGAAGGGAACCGCAGCGCTTCGTTGCGATCCACGACTCCCTACGACGTGTCGAGCTCAGCCTCCGCAATACCGGTGTTTCCTGCCTGGAATAGCGTACCCGAACGGTCGAAAGGGACCAGGAAATCTTCCACGCGTGTTGATTTCCTTTATCTAAACCGAACACACAGCCGACCTTTTCACTATGGGCCACCTGGACATTCCAATTCGTGCTGCTCAGATGGGTAGCCTTTTAAGTTTCCGCCTCCAAACGCATTTGCTCGCTTTTACTGTATCGGTTGCGGTCCGAAGTAAAACTCATCCTTCTCCAGGGCGCTCGTTGACGGCCACGTGTGTCATTTGCGGTAACCTTCTGGAAACGCAGCTTCTGGTGCTTTCCTTACGTTTCGTCCCTGTCTTCTTCTCTCTTATTCTAATATTTTCGCACCGCCAATCCTGCTTCCTTCCGCCTTCCATTTTGTTATATGCGACACGAAACTTCTAGAATCTTTTGACACCGAGCGGTTTCTTGCGCATCTCATGGGCCACCCGGCAGAAGCACCGTCGGCGGCGGAGGAGTCCGTTCCTCCGCCACCGCCGCACGAGGGACAGCGGACGATCCCGACGCCGTTCCTGACGAAGACGTACCAGCTGGTGGACGACCCGTACTTCGACGACGTGATCTCGTGGAACGAGGACGGCTCCACGTTCGTCGTCTGGCAGCCGGCCGAGTTCGCTCGCGACGTCCTCCCCAAAAACTTCAAGCACAACAACTTCTCCAGCTTCGTCCGCCAGCTCAACACCTACGTGCGCTCGCCGGCCCTGCAGATGTCTTTTTGGTCGGTGGATTCGTCTTCCATGAGTTCTGTTTCTCTTGGATTTTTCAGGGCTTCCGAAAGATCGCATCGGATCGGTGGGAATTTGCCAACGAGTGCTTCCGCCGCGGCGAGAAGGGGCTCCTCTGCGACATCCACCGCCGGAAATTGTCGCCGACGGCGATCCCTTCGGCCGCCCCTGCGAACCGGGTTATGTCGTCGGAAACTTCGGGAGATGAGCAGGTACGATCCACGACCTCCTCCCCCAGCGGCTTTCAGCCGGAGCCAGCGGCGGTGGTGGCGTGGGCGTCGCCGGGAAGCAGCGGCGGGGCCTCGGAGCTGGCAGAGGAGAACAACCGTCTGCGACGGGAGAACAAACAGCTCTCGCAGGAGCTCGGCCAGATGAAGAGCCTCTGTACCAACATCATGCAGCTGATGGCCAAATACGCCCTATTCCGGAAGAACGGCGCGGCAGCGACGACCGCCGTCAGCGGCGGTGGAGGAGCGTCAGCGGCTCCGCCTCTGGAGGCGGGTGGCAGTTCCGGAGAGCGGGGGAGCACGAGGCTCTTCGGCGTCTCGATCGGGTTCAAGCGGAACCGCGGAGAAGACGGTGGCGTGGCATCGACATCCGCGGCCGTGATGGGAGACGACGGAATGGTTCCGGTGCTGGGCCGTTCGGCGAGCGGATAGCAAGTCCTGGTCACGTGCGAGTCGAAGACGTTGACGACTCGGTCGGATCCGAAGCTGAGTCGCCGCCTTCCCTTGGTTTCTCGTTAGGAGCGGATTAAGCTAAGCATAATGTCAGCTTAAGCGTTTCGCGGGTGTGAAGGCAAGACTAAGTACTTTCGCTCACTCTTGTACGAAACGGTGAATCACAACCATGTGCTGGGTAAGTATAGTACCAGTAATGGGGATGGTTGTACTCTTTCGTGAAACGTTGACCACTGTTGACCAACCCACGTACCACGTAAATTATGGTGCGAGTGCATTCTCGTGGTCTTCTCTAAACCACTCTCTCAAGTTTGCAGGTCAAGATAGATGATATATTGCTTATCAAAATGTACAGATGATCTATTGCAAATCTTGGGCAAGCCTTTGCTTCAGATTTCTCGGTTCATCGAACCTGGCCTGGTCTGATCGGACCAGGTTCCATTTGGTCCCTCGACATGGCCCGAGATCCAAGCACAAGAGTGCTTGCAGTAACGTCTTCTCCTTCTGTCGACTCACTGCACGCACTTACAAGCGCAGGAGTTGACGGTGTGATTGTTGTAGGTGAAAATGGAACATCAGGATCACCCCGCGAGCTGCGTTCTGTCTCCGGTGTTGTCTGTGATCCTCTTCGCATTTCTCTCGAGTGGCTTGGATTCATAGAGTTGCATGACGTTTGCGTTGAAAGCAGGGTTTCTGAGTTAAAGATGAAAAGACGGTATCAGTTTCTGCAAATGCTGTCCGAGAAGAAGGTCACAGATGAGTTTGGACGACTCTTCTCTGCCATCTCCATGATGTGATGGGCTTCATATATCTCCGTACAAAACGAAGGTTTCACAGATTGAAGCGCACTGATTAGGTTTTCGTACTTGTATTTGTTGGTGGATGCAGCACATATGGATTGTGTCGAATCAAACTCAACTTCTTCTTATTCTTCTTCTTCTTCTTCCTTTTGTGAGCATCATCTTTCAATTAATACGCTTAGTATGACCTCAATCAAGACATCTCCCTCTAGCCACAACTTTTTCCTTGAGATGACTAATGGATGAGATTTAGCTTTTGCAGCTTCACCGCTTCAAGCTAAGCAACCAATAATTAAGAGAATAACCTAATCAAATTAAGTTAAAATGTACAATAACCTTATAAAACTAAACAAATAAACAATATTATATATATATATATACATGCTTAATGATAAGATAGTGGCAGGTGATAGTGTTATCCCTACTAAATGTTCTTTGGTGGCAGGTTTGTCTCTGAGGACAGCACCTAATTGCTGGTAGAGCGTCGGAAACAAGGCGTATATACATCCCGAAGCTGACTCTCCTTTCACCATTAACGCTCCCTTACACGCTAACACTTCACCTTCTTTCTTTCCCCAAACACCTTGAGTACTTTGGTCAGATATATTATTCCCCTCTCCCATTTCCGCTTCACTACACACAACAAACAGCTACTGTACAATCTGATCATGTGAACCACCGTAGCTTTCTACCTTTGCTTGTCGCCTACACTGTGCAACCCTGTTTTAGTATTATTGTAGCTGTTCGTTCTTTCTTTGATCCCTTTCTACCTTTCCTCGAAGCAGGTGCATGGCTGACCGAGCTTCGGACATGCACCGCCATTCCCACGTGGGCAGCCGGCCGCCCCCACCCGAGCAGCAGCGGCCGCTTCCGCGTGAGCAGGGAGGCAATGCGGCGCAGCCCGAGGGGCAGCGGAGTGACCCGCGGATGAGGATGGAGCGGTCTGCTCCCCGGAAGCACCCCAGCTACCGCGGCATCCGGTACCGGAGCGGGAAGTGGGTGTCGGAGATCCGCGAGCCGCGCAAGGCCAGCCGCATCTGGCTGGGCACGTACCCCACCGCCGAGATGGCTGCCGTGGCCTACGACGTGGCCGCTTACGCGCTCCGGGGCCGGGACGCCGTGCTGAACTTCCCCGACGAGATCGCATCTCGTCCCGTGCCGGCCTCGGCCTCCCCCGCCCATATCCGCATGGCGGCGGCCGAGGCAGCCGCTTCGCTGATGCCGAGGACGGGAGCGGGCGACGGCAGTACGGCCGCTTCGCATCATCATCATCAGCAGCAGCAGCAGCAGGTCGGAAGCCACAGCGGGTCATCTCCGGGCACGGAGGGGCAATATGTAGATGAGGAGGAGATATTCGACATGCCCCAGTTGTTGGTGAACATGGCGGAGGGGATGCTGATGAGCCCACCAAG